CAACAGGCATGAACAAATAAAACCCAGTAAGTTTGTTTAAGGAAATGTGAATCAAAATGACAGGATTTCTAAAATTCTTCATTACTCACTCAAAAAGCTCACATAAACAAATTCCTTCAGGGAAGAGTTCAAAAAGAGACACATGAAAAATAGTTCTGTAACTGCTTATTAGCCAATGATCCTGCTCAGACAAGCAGAGTCTGTTTTACACAAACCCAGCCTGTCACGTCAAACTTTCAGCAATTAGGTTTCTTGTTACGTAATAATGCACTAAAACTAATTATACACTTTAAATCTATTTCTTTTATTTCCTTCAAGGACATCCTCATAAATTAAGGCTGCACCTCAAATTTAGAAATTAATATAAACTAGCTGGGCATGCTAGTGCAGGGGCACAGTAATGAAGGGGCAAGTTAGTCCAGGCCTGGAATCCCATCACTTGGGAGAAGGAGGGTCAGGGGTTCAAGTCCACTCTGGGTCTGTGGTCAGTCCAGGCTACACCATGAGAGCCTAGCGCACACACACACAAAAAGAGATAAAAAGAAAAAAATTAATATAAGCTTTCTCACTTTATCCAATTTTAAGCACATGTAAGTCCATATCTAAGTCAACCCTGCATTACTTTTCCACACAACTGTACACACTGCTTTCCTAGAACAATCGGTGTTACACAGCTCACACTATGTTGAAATGTAAAAGCAAACACCTTTGTTTTAATCCAGTTACTCTGCTCTCTTCAGCAGCACATGTACTAAAACAGGAGCCAAGCCAAACCCGTATTTACTCTTCACTATCAAAGCACTAAGAAATCAGAATTCATGTACTTAGCCTGAACTGCTTTAGGCATAAATATGTTAAAACAAAAGGCAAATAAAAGAGAATGAATCTCTGACAGTCAATACCTAATATTCTGGGGAAAGCACTATCGATGCAGGAAGGTAGGTGACTAAGGTAACCAAGGCGAATTTCACCAAAATAGCGACTGTGTGTCCACATGACATTTAGTACACTGCATTTGGTACTATGAGGTTTTTTTGGGGGGTGGTGTGGGAGATAATGGCATCCACTTTTGCAAAACAAAATTTACCATTTCATCCTAGGGAACATTCACCTAGAACAAACCAACAAATGCTAGTGTTATTCAATGCGGTCAGCAGAAAGGCCAAAGACAAATTAGGAAAATGGATTAGAAGTAGCTCTAGACCCTCACTGATACCTTTTACACAAGATTAAGTTAAACATCAATATGAAAACTCTCGCAGGGCAGTGGTGGTAGATGCCTTTAATCCCAGCACTCGGGAGGCTGAGACAGGCGGATCTCTGTGAGTTCAAGGCCAGCCTGGTCTACACGAGCTAGTTCCAGGACAGGCCCCAAAACTTCACAGAGAAACCCTGCTTCGAAAAGCAAACAAACAAACAAAAACTAAACAAAAAAAAAAAACCATGAAAACTCTCTGAAAGAAAATACTTGGTACAAAATAAATATAAGGCATGATCCAAACAGTTAAATTCAACAGACAGGTCCATTATGCAGTCTTGGTTGGACTGTAATTTGCTATGTAGACCAAGATGGCCTCAAACTCTCAGAGATCGGTTTGACTCCAGAGAGGTGGGACTAAAGGTGTACACCACCATTACATTTTATTCAATATACTCAGTAGATAGAAGACATCAGTTTGATACACCAGAGTGACTGCCGTTATCACCTGTGATTCTGAAAAACTGGGTTAAAGCTAGGCCAACCTCTAGCATATGTTCTCAATTCATCTCAGCTTTTAAAAAAATGAAATAAAGGTCTGATTACCTGGCACTGAATGACAACAGTTGGACTTTCATTTAGGTACATAAATAAATAAAGCAAGATCTAATAGAATCACCTCATCACATGAAAACTCCAGACGCTAACAGTCTCCCCTTTAGAAGGGCAGCTGATCAGCCGGCCATAGAGGGCAGCAGAGCTAAGAGAGTGAACTGTGAGCGCCAGAAATGAAGGGAGGGCAGAAAAGTTACTGGGCTGAGTAAGGAGTCCTGAGGATCAGAGGGAAAGACAAAGCTTCAATTAATGAATTAAACCAGCAGACGCTGATACTATGAGGCTTGGCCCTGACTCCTATCTGCATCTGAGAATCACCCTGGGAGTTTTAAAAAATAAACATGCCAGGATTCCACCTTAGACCAGTTAATGCTGATGGAGGAATGAGGGCCAGGTGTGGGTTCAAGTTTTTCAAGTGTGTAAGAGGACTATGTCAATACATAAAAACAAAGGTAAACTAGGCCCTGCCCCAGATGCTACAATGTTAAAAGCTAAATTGGAAAACAAAATAAAGCACAAAAAAAAAAATCTACTATTTCCCAAATGTATTACGTTGTAGCTAAACTTTTGTCTCTAAAACTCAAAGGAGCCTAAAGAACAACTTTCATAGTGCCTTTATCAAGGAGACTGTTATTCTTACAGGTGAAAGCGATAATAAGTTCACAGGGTCAAAGCTAGCCTCAAGCAGCTGTGAGTCACCACTGAAGCGAGAAGACAATTCAAATCTGCTATTTACAGGACAGTGCTCTGCCCCAATGGTATCGCCAATTTGATAGATATATTTTCCTGGATTATCACTTTACTCAATTAAATGCTTCCAAAAATAATCAATAATTAAATTAAGAAAGACAACCAAAAACAATGAGAGGAGGCGAGATATGATCCAAAATAGGAATTCTGAAGATGTTAGCCTTCAAGGAGGAAAGATTTCCTCATGTGAGTACTAGAACTAGACACTATATTTAGCAATTCCTCTAAGTATATCCTTAAAAAGTAAAAAGAAAAATTAATTATGTCTTCTAAGAGGGACATGACAACAGTCAGAAAACAGTCCTAAAATAACGTTGGAAGCCACTGAAAACACTTAACTTACTCAGATGAATTTCAACTTTACCTTAGTGTTTTCCTAATTACAAAAGTTTTGTGTTTGGATGGAACAATAATTTGTGAATATCCAGTTAAAAGCTAAACAAGTAGTAGTAGCGAATCCCTCCCCAAATCAGGACAACTAGAAAACGAATTAAGTTATAATTAACTCAGAAGACCACATACCTGGACAAAACAAGCACACACATTTCCCTCACTGCTAAGTGTAGAGTAAGCAGGTTGATATAAATACTTGAAACATCTCGGATGCCCACGGATATCTGACTCACTCCACAGTATGACTGTATTTCAGAGCAGGAAGAACTAACTCTCTTTCATACTAAAGGGTTTTCTGGTGTTTTTGTTAAACCCACAAATGGGGGGGAAATACTACTGACAGAAAAAAAAAAACATGCAATACTGTGGTATCGAGGGCACCGACAGAGAACCAAGTAAAACAACTCAACTTCACAAAGCATTTTAACAACTTGAGCGAAAGTAGGTTTTTTTTCTGTTTGAGGGTTTTATTTCCAAGTGAAGATTTATCTCCTCAACTGGATCTGCCTGAGTTTACCATGAATAATACCTTGAGCAATAGAACACATGCAAATATCTGAAATCAACCTAGAGTTTCAATTTTCTCTTTTTTCCACTACTGACCAAATTCTGTACATAAAAACAACTATGGAACCCACAGCTTTCTGAAGCAAACACCATCTAACTTAGAATATGATTCCTGATTCTAAAAACTTGTGTCGGCTTTAAAAATAAAGCCTATTAAAACTACATCTCTTGAGACTAGCCAGATGTTTAAAATTCAATTATTAGGTAAGAACAGTAAGTACAACATTAAGAACAAGAATAACTCACTTGAGCAGATTAAATATAAAAGAAAAATGCGAATATCAAGATTTCAAACTAAAAATAAAATGAAAAATTAATGAAAAACAATCAAAGTATAAAATAGGTTTTAATGAAGTATAAAAACTTAAACCTCTGTGTGGTAATTCAATAGCCTAGTAGGTAGTACTGGATTATGACAGTTGCTGCACTCCGCTGACCGTGCCGTGCCAATTTTAGCAATCCCAATGTGTTAACAATAAATGAGATACACACTGAACATACATAAACTCTCCCACAAGTCCGTCTGAGCCTAGCTGTGGTATGTCCCTGATTCAGAAGCACCCCAAGAGGAAGATGGAGGGTCTGAAGGGGGTTCCAAAGCTGTTGCTAGTCAACTGTTGATTTGATCTGGGATTTTCCTTATCCTTGCCAAACTACGTCAGGATTCACAGATCCAAAGACAAATCAGAACCAGACTGGCCTTGAAAGGGTTGCTGGATCTCTGTCAAGCGAACTGAAAAATCTGCTGATCATTTATCTATTTAGGCATGAGCCTTTAATTTCTTGGCCTTGTAAATCATTCTCTAGATTTCTATCAGGTTTGCAAGAATGTCTTAAGTATCTAGGAATATAATTATCTTTCCATGATGACATCTAGACATAAAATTATTAAATCGAAAGCCAGTAACTCTCAAAGAATAAGCAAGAACACCAGGCAACAACTTCGTGAAAAGCCTCCAAACCTACGGGGGAAAGCAGGCGAGCCAAAAGAATTGCCAAGCTCTCCTGCGAGGCATTAGGCGTGGACACCAATTTCAATTACTGTACAAAACCTTGCAAAGTCCTTGGAAGCAAAGCCCCAAGTTCCCCTTCCACTGCAAAGAAATACTCGTTCCTTCAGAACGACAATCGAGGTCTTCTAAGGGATGACACTTGAGCCTACCGACACAGTATGGAAGATACGTCACTTGGTCGCGGTTTTAGGCTTCTTCTTTATAGTTACGTCTAAAGGCCAGCTAACTCGGGGGCAGTTGTTCGGACCCTGGATCTGGCGACCGAGGGACAAGTACAGAAAGTGACGAACTAGCTCAGCGTGGAGGAGAGCCAGGTCTGAGGCTCGGCAAAGTGGGGGTAAGGGGGTCGGAGAACCGGACAAGGAAAGGGAGCGTTGTTACCTGGGGGACCCTGGGGTCGCCACGGCAGGGCAGGTGGGCAACCCGGGAGAGGGGCACCAGGGGCGGCCCGCCGCGCGCTTTACCTTTGAGCTGGGGCAGGGGGTGCAGCTCCGCCTGGCTGCCCTGGCTGCGGAACTGCGACGAGCCCTGCGAGCGCTTCTGCCTCTGCGCCTTGCGCACCGATTTCCGGGTGAAGCCGTCCACTTTCTCCGAGGCCGAGATGGCGGCGCAGGCAACTGGCGCGGGCGGCGACGGCGACGACATCTCCGCGACCCCGGCGGCGCCCGGCACCTCCCGCCGCGGCTGGCCCGGGAAATGGGCGAGGGACGGGCGCGCAGAGCCTGCGCCCCTGCGCCCCGGGCTCCGGCCGCGCCGCCCTCGCGCTCCGCGAGCTGCTCCCCGTCCGACAGCGCCTCACGGCCGCATCCCCGCGCCGCGCGGCCGCCTCCCGGGGCTGGCGGAGGGGAGGGCTGGGGCGCGCGGGCCGCTCAAGTTGCTGACGCCCGGCGCCGAGGGCGGGCGGAGGCGAGCCCGAAGTTTGGACGGCTGGGGCGAGCGAGCGCGCCTCGCGTCCCCTGAGCGCACCGAGCCCCGGAGGCTCCTCAGCGGCCGCTGCCCGCGCCGTCCTCCCGGCCGGGAGCCTCCTCCCGGGGCGCTTCCATCGCGGGTCCGCGCGAGCCGCCGCCGAGCGCTCGCCTCTCCTGTCAACGCCGACCCCTCATCGCCCGGGGCGGCCACCGGCGCCCCGACCCCAGCAGCGTCGCCCTCGCTCTCCCCCGCGCGCCTACCGACCGCCCACGGAGCACGCCGGGCGAGCGACTGCTACAACTTGAGAGGGCGGCTGGTCCGGGCGACCGGGGCGCGGGCGGGGAGGGGGGCCCGGGGCGCGTGCGTGCGCGCTCGCGCGGCCCGGGGGAGGGCTCGCGGGGGGTGGAGGGAGGAGTTTGACTGACAACTTCCGCGGGGTCCCACTGAGCCTCCCGAGGCTCCGGAGGGGGCCGGGGCGGGAAAGCATGCCAGTTCCTTCAGCCAATCGCAGGGCTCAGCGGCAGGACGGGGGCTGGGGCGCGGGGCCTCCGCGATGGCGACTGAGAGTCCGAAGGGGGTGGGAGGGCGGGGCTGCGTGACAGACGCGGGTGCCAGCCAATCGCAAGTAAAGGCAGGGAGCGGGGTGCCTTGTGCGTCACAACTGTAATGAAAGCTCTCGGGGTTTGGGGGCAGAGGGGAAGTGGGGGTGCCACGGTCGGGCCTCGCGCGCGCCCGCGCTCAGCTCCACACCCGAGTCGCCCTCCAGGCAGCGGGTGAGAGGGAGCCGAAGAGCGCCCGCCCGCCCCTGGGCACCCAAGAACGCCAAGTGTTGCGTCAGTGGCACGGGGGCGGGGCAAGGGGCGTGTCAGAGCAGTGTGATTGACAGGCAAAGGAGCCCCCGGGCGGAGAGGAATGAGCTCGTCCAATCGGAACGCGGGGCTGGGCTCCTGGGCGGGCCTTCGTCCTCCCCGGTTCTCCCCGGTCCTCAGCCGCCTAAGCGGTGGTTGGGGAGACTGTAGCTCCCGGGATTCGCTGAGCGCTACTCTCGCGTGGGGTTTGGGCAAGGTCGACTCTACCACTTCAAAGAACTCTGCAAGTCCACGCCCTCTGAAAAGAACTTTTCCGTTCCGAATTTAGCCCAGTTTAACCCCTTCAGCTGAGGACCTCTGTCATCTGCAGTTCAGATTCGCTGATGTGGGGGGTCTTGGGATTTCGGCCTTGGAGGTTTCGACTGCATTTTAAATTTAAAGCCAAGAATTGTTCATGTTAGCTTTTGTACAGTGCTTTTCATACGATGCTTCTACAGTAAGTGACCTCCAACCTCCTCAGTCTCCCCTGCAAGTGCCACGCCCTTTCCTTTTGACCTAATAAAAACTGTTGAAGTAGACTGACCTAAGGCGCGAGGAGGTCGAGAGTTATGTACAAGTTGAGTTCTAGCCCTACACTCAAAACATTTTCCTGAACAAATTATTTAACCAGCCAACAATAGGAGTGGATAAAGAAAATGTGGCGAATATACAAATTTTTTCACCACAAGGAACGAAGTTATATCATTTGTAGGAAAAAGATCGAACTGGAGATAAGGCAGTCTCAGAAAGATAAATATATCCTCTTGTTTGTGATTCCTAGATTTTACATAGATACATTAAATCATGTATGCATTTGCAACTTGAAAGTAGACATGAAGTTGTCTGTGGGAATAAAAGGGGTTAATAAATTAATAATAAATGGGAGGGGAATGTGTTTGATGCACAAGAAATACTTGTATGAAGCTTCTAATAAGAAGTTAAGTATTAAACAACCAGTTTATATACAATTTTCCCAATCAAGGAGGCTCATCAGCAACTAAAAGACCTTTTCATCCAGTCTTTTACCAGGTTAAGCTGACTCTTCTTTAAGGTTCAAAATGTCTTCAACAATTTGCAAAATGAATCACCCATCATAATTCAGGGTTTCAAGATGACCGCTAGAGGATCTTTCAAGAGGAGATATATGTGTGCATGTGTGTATGTGTGTATTTATACACATAGAGAGAGCGAAATTATAATTAGATTATTTCTCCCCTCCCTCCAAACCCTCACCTGTATCACCCTCCTTGCTTGCTTTCAAATTCATAGCCTTTTTCTTGAATTGTTGCTACACACACACACACACACACACACACACATTCCTAAAAATCCAGTCCATTTGGCCCTGGATCACCACTTAGTGTGGTCTTCCCTGGAGACTGTTTCTCCAGCTCACAGCCTCCCTTAGCTACCTGTGCCTCTTGGTTCTAATGGACCAGTACCCACACAGCAGAGTCCAAATTCAGCATCCCACAAAGTGACCTTGCTTTGACACTTAGTGCTACCCCTCCTTCTTGAAATGATCTGCCTCATCTCCGCTTGTTGAAACGTGTCTTCTCTTCAAAGCCCAGCTAGAGAGCTACCTTCTGTGAAGCTTTTCACAATAATCTGCGTCCCCCCTCCCCCAGGGGAAAGGGGATGCCTCTCTTCTTAGAGTTCCAATTGCGTGTCTTATCCATATTCACCACAGGACCTGCCGTCCCAAACTCCTCTGAAGAGTTGGAAGCACCCAGAAAGCGGGAACTGGGTTACTTTATTGCTCCTAGCCATTCCTGAAATAGAGAGCAGTATAGAGCAGCAGCGTCTTCAGCTCCCAGTAGTCTCAGAAAGCATGGTCACTGGTGTCCCTGCATCAGATTCCCTGCGTCAGAGTCCTCGAGGTGATTATGTGAAATGCAGGCTCCTGGACTTCTCATCTGATGCACTATATCAATATGGAGAAAAGGTTAGAAATCTGTTTTTAATAAGCTCTCTATTGTTGCACACACAGAAGTCTGAAATCACAATTCTCTAGTCACCTAAATATTATTTTTGAAAAGTATAGAGTTCTGAAGGTGTAGCTTAGAGGTAGAGTACTTGTTAGCGTACACAAGGCCCTGGGTTCAGTACCTAGCACCACCCCCAAGTGAGAGTAAATGCCCACAAAGCAAAGTAGTGATATTTATAACAAAGACAGTATATATAAGAATACACAAATACACACACACATACTCACACACACACACACACACACACACGAAAAAAGGTGTTGCAGAATATTTGTTTACACTGTGAAGAGGTGGTTTTGTCAAGGTGCCTTCTGATTGGTTTAATAAAGAGCTGAACGGGCCAATAGCTAGGCAGGAAGAGGTGAGGTGGGACTCTGGGAAGAAGAAAGGCAGAGTTGCCAGCCAAACACAGAGGAAGTAGATTGGGCAGTAGGGAGATGCGGTGATGAACCATGTGCCAGAACGTAGATTTGAAAACATGGGTTAATTAAGTTATAAGAACTAGCTAGGAACAAGCCTAAGGGAAGGCCAAACTTTCATAATAATAAGTCTCCGTGTCATTATCTGTGAGCTGGGGGTCTTGACCAGAAAGTTTGTCTACAGTAAAGACTAATAGACTCCTCATAATAATAAGTCTCCGTGCCATTCTCTGTGAGCTGGGGTCTTGACCAGAAAGTTTGTCTACAGTAAAGACTAATAGACTCCTCATAATAATAAGTCTCCGTGCCATTCTCTGTGAGCTGGGGTCTTGACCAGAAAGTTTGTCTACAGTAAAGACTAATAGACTCCTCATAATAATAAGTCTCCGTGCCATTCTCTGTGAGCTGGGGTCTTGACCAGAAAGTTTGTCTACAGTAAAGACTAATAGACTCCTCATAATAATAAGTCTCCGTGCCATTCTCTGTGAGCTGGGGTCTTGACCAGAAAGTTTGTCTACAGTAAAGACTAATAGACTCCTAGCGACTCAGTTAGAATGAGCACAACTATTTGGGTGTTGTCTGAAGCGGAACCTGGGGAAGAAGTTTTTGAAGTTTGAAAGAAAAGGTTAAGTCAAAACCTGAAAGAAAGAAAAAAACGAGGGTTCAAAGTTCATATTGGCATTTTGGGAAGAATAAAATGTAGTATGACCCTGTCTCAGAACAAAGACCCAATTTAGTATTTTTTAAATTTTTATTTATTTTTATTTTATGTGCATTGGTGTTTTGCCTGCATGTATGTTTGTGTAGGGAAGTCAGATCTTAGAGTTACAGGCAGTTATGAGCTGCCATGTGGTGCCGGGAATTGAACCCCAATCCTCTACAAGAGCAGCGTGTGCTCTTAACCACTGAGCCATCTGTCCAGCCCCCCAACTTAGTCCAGTTATTGCTGACCTGTGTGCACAGACGTGGGGCTGTCTACTGCAGCGTGAGAACCCTAGCAGTGAGCTGGCCCAACTTTAAATGACATGAATGATATGAGCCTGTCTTATCATCACCTCTCAGAGTCTTATCTTCCACACTCGTACACAGGTAGGAAGGAAAGGTGCACGACCTGGGAAGGGTTGGCACGGGTTTTAAATATGACACCTGAGGGCAACACTTGATAAAATGAACCTTATACAGGCAGCTCTTCTACACACAGATATCTGTCAGAAATCTATTTTCCACCCTCTGTCTTGAATTAAGTATTTGGGCCCTAGACAGAAATGTGGTCACTATGAACCATCTCTATGGTAGCAAATACCTGTAAACCTAGTCCCTGGGAGGCAAAGGAAGAATGACGGCTGAAAGTCCCAGGCTACGTTGGTCCATAGTTAGTTCCTAGCCATCCAGGATTACAGAGTGTGACCCTGTCTCAAACAAAACAAAACTGTCTTATCAAAGATTTGCTATGTGCAAGAAGAGCTTTCGGCTATTAAGTTGCTGTGTAAGCTGTTAAAAGGTATAGAAATTTGATCTTGCAAAAATCACCTAAGATGGCTTCGAACTTGTAATCCTCCTACTTCTGTCTCCCAGAGTGATAGAATTAAAGACAAACGCCATCACCCCCAGCCACTTTTCTAGGTTTCAAGGACTAAAATTCCACGTGGTTTATCTGGGTGCCAGTGTGTGTTGAGATGATTGGAATTCCTGTGACTTCAGACAGAGGCGCTAGCAGGGCAAAGTGAGAAGTCGCACTTTTCTCTTTTGAATTATAAACTTTTCATGAAGCTCATCATTTCAACTCAGTCTGCTATGAGCTACTGTGTTGGTCAACCAGGACTTTCCACAAGGCCAACGACAATCGAAATGGTTAGGCTGGAGATCTGTTTGGGGCAAGGAGTACCAGGACCAGCAGGTGGATTAAAGGGCAGGAAAGGTGAACATATGCCTGAGGATCCTGACTGTCTCTTCATAGCTAGGAAGCCTGTGCTCCATCAGTATGGGCTGAGAGCATCAGCGTCGGCTAGCACTTGCTCTACCCCTGAGAGCATCAGCGTCGGCTAGCACTTGCTCTACCCCTGAGAGCATCAGCGTCGGCTAGCACTTGCTCTACCCCATCCTGGCCCTAGGT